AAAAGCGACTGTGGGCGGGAGGGTTGGGAGGATTGGTGTTTGCAGGATCTGGAGCAGGTCTGGAAGCGGGGTTGGAGCAATATCTGGAATGTGGTTTTGCAGTGGGAGCGCCCTGCAGAGAAGGGCGGGGCTGTGCACCTGGGGCACCTCTGTGCTGGCACTGGGCACTGCTGCCTTCGCTCTCCCGGTGTTCCCAGTTGGATTCTGCCAGCAGCTGTGGGTTCATTCCCATCCACCTTGGGCACAAGGTGTGGTGTGGCCTTGGAGCTGCTCTGGAGTGAGGGGGGTCCCCCATATGCCCTCCTCCCCATATCCCTCCAGAACCAGGGAACAGAATGGGGTGGTGGGCAGGAGGTGCTGAGAACCCCGGTGCGGGCAGGTCCCCATTGCTGCGTGTCCCTAAGGGTGGGGACACAAGTCCTGGCCACAGCTCTCCAAAGGGCACTTGCAAGTGTCCCCACAGCCTCTGGACCAGCAGGGCACCCCTGGAATGGGGGATGTGGTGCTCCAGGCTCTCCTGTCCTCCACCCCAGGGATGCCCAGTGCCACAGGGGTGTTACTGCCCTGGGGTCAGCACTGGGGCTGGAGCGGTGATTGGAGGGACAAAATGCCATGAGAGAGGAGCTGCTGCCAGCCTGCATGCTGCTTCCCACAGCCTGAAGGGATCAGGGGTAAAACTCCTCCTGTGCCGTGGCAGGGCATCCTCGGGGATCCTGCACCTCCTGAGGGTGAGGATCCATCCCTGACTGTCGCTCTCTGCAGGGTGAAGGCCAAGAAAGGTGTGAACCTGCTCAGCACCAAGTCCAGGAGCGGGCAGTGGCTGGTGAGCTCGGAGCTGCTGACGGGTGGCAAACACTCCACTGCCACCGTCGACGTGTCCAGGGTGGATGGGGCTGGGCCCAGGTAAGGGCTGCAGCTCTGGGAATGCCAGGGAAACGCTGGGCTTGGCCTGGAGCAGCTCTCCCTCTGCCCCTCTCCCATGGGTCTGGGTGGCTGCAGTGCCATGGAGGTCCTGGCAGGGGAAACTGAGGATTTTAGGGCTCGGTTGTGAAGCGGTGGAGGATTCCTTAGTCTGGGGTGGAAGGATTTTAATTTTTTATTAAGTTTTAATGCTGTGAGAAGCAGCAGCTCTCTGCTGTCTGTCGTGGTGTCCCCTCTGGGAAGGAAGGGGTCCCATCTGAACCCTAAAGTGAAGGATGAGTGTTGGATGGGGAGCAGGATCCAGGTCAGGCAGTTCTACCCTCCTCACACATCCCTGGGACTCTGGGAATTGAGCCCTGGAAATGGAATTGAGAATGATCTGAAGGAGAAAAGACCCACAAAGCCAAGCTGGGAGCCCAGAGGGTTCTCAGCCTGAAGAAGGGGAGATGTGAGACTGGCAGGCAAGGGCAGGGGATGGGCACGGGGTCAAAAACAGCAGCAGGAAAGATTCTGAAGAGCTGGAGAACAACAGTGACATCTCTGTGCCATGGGAAGAGGGACACAAGCGTCTCCAGGAGCTGGGTTAAAGCAGCTTGATGTGCTCAAGGCATTCCTGTCCTCTGCCGTGGAAATCTCCCCACATCTCTGTCCCCCACCCCAAAACTGAGCAAAGCTGGGGCCAGACTCTTGGAAAAAAAGAACTCCTCAGCTCTGTGTGCTCTGGTGCGAGCTCCAAAGCTCTGCAGAACCCCTTTCTTGCCAGGAGGGCAGATTTTCCTTCACCCCATCCCGCTGCTTCCGAAATGCACCCACAGCATCCAAACCCACGGCTGATCCAGGAGTGTCCCCAGGGCCACCGGCCCCTGTCCCCTGCACGCCCACCCCAGAGCACACGGAGAGCAGAGCTGCCAGCAGCAGCAGGATCCTCTCCCCCTTCCCCCTCTCCCGCTGCCAGCACCGTTTCCAATCAGCCTGCAAAGGTTAGAGACGGGGGAGGAATTTAAAGTGATTACAATCACCTTTTAGACAAACAACTCCATCAAATATTAACGGAATGGAGAGGATGAATGACTCCAAGCCGTGTTGCCCTCCAGGCTGTGCAAACAGAGGAGTTGCTGTGCTGGGGCTCTGGGGGCTTTTGGCAGCGCTGGCTGTGCAGGGAGGGGCTGCCAGCCCTGAGCTTTGGGGTCAGAATGGCCAGTTTGGGGTGTTTTGCACTCCAGCAGCTGCATCCCAAATTGTTGCCCCGGTGTGGGCACCTGGCTCTTGTCTCAGCTCAGAGCAGATGATGCTGGGGGAGGGCAGAGGATGGTGGCTGGGCCTGGCAGCGCTCCTGGGACACCTCGGGGCACCCCATGGCGAGGAGTCCCATTGCCCCAACACCTCTGGCTCTGCTTTGCCTCTGGACCTGCCTCTTCCCAGCTGGCTTTGAGCCTCCTGGCATTGGAAGAGCAGCCAAATCTGCTTTCCAGACCCTGTGGCCTTTGGTGACTCCCCTTGAACCCCGGAGCCGCCTTGGGGCAGAGCAAGGGACTCCAGCAGCCCCAGTGGATCAGCTCCACTGGAAAGCTCATCATGGATGCTGCGGGATCAGGGATCAGGGCTTGCCATGGCCTGGAGCAGCTCCAGCTTCTTGCTCTGGTCTCTCCCTGCTCCCTGTCACTCATTAGATATTGATTAGAGAGAAACCTGGCTGTGCCCTGCGTCCCCAGATCGATGGGACCTTCTCAATTGCTGCTGTGCTGAGATGAAACTGGAGCCAGTCCTGGCTTCCCTTCCACTGGAATTTCACTTTTCCTCCCCTCCTTGTTGGCTCTGAGGGGCTTTTAACACTGCTGTGGTTTGTGGGGGAGCTGGGGTTTCCTCCAGGGGTGTTCAATTTTTGGGGAGCTGTGAAGTTTGAGATGGGGCAGGGTTGAAGCCTGAGTGACTCCAGGGATTTGCCGGGCAGAGGCAGAGCTGGGAGGGCAGGATCAGGTCTGGGGAGGTTTGGTTGTAGGGATGGGCTGTAGGAATAATTCATGCTGCTGCTGTGAGGTTGTGTCCAAGCCATGGTGCAGATGAGCACCAACCTGTCCCCATAGTCTGGCAGCTTGTGCTGGGTTTGGCATCCTCTCCACTGTCTCCTGCCTTGGGGACACTCCAGAGGTCACTCCCTGTCCTTTAGCTCCGTGTTCTGCTGCCCTCAGCCCTGGCATCAATTTGTGTTTGCTGAGCTGATGGTCCCAGGGCTGTTCTCCCCTGCTGGTTCTGTCCACCTCCCGTCCCCTGCCCGTCCTCCCTCGCAGGCTGGGGGACAGCCCTGTCCCATGTCCCAGATCATTGCTGTCCCACTGCTGTCTGGGCTTGAAACTCTTTTTCTCATGACTCAATTTCCACGTGGAATCCCCTTGGAAGGGCCTCTGAAATCAACAGCTTGGGCTGAGCTCACGTGTTGACACTTGTTTGTCACTCCTGAGTGCTCTGGGTGTGGGACACTCAGGATCTGACCTGTGGGACACTCAGGATCTGACCTGTGGGACACTCGGGATCTGACCTGTGGGACACGAGTGTCCTGGCAGGAGCAGTAAATCCACCCCCACTGCTGGGAAGATGGAGTCAGGGAATCAAGGCCAGCACCTGCAGCCACCCACTGTCCCCCGAGGCCATGACCCCACGCCCACCCTGTGATGTCACCCAGCAGCCCTGGCAGAGCTGATGAGGTTTCTTGTCCTGCTGGGAGAGGTGCTGAAAAACATTTCTCTCTCCCACTGGGGAGATTCCCATGGGAATCTGCAGGATCCCATTGGAGGAGCCCCTGCAGAGGTGAGGGTTGCTGGGCTTGGGTGGCACCTGCTGCACAGTCCCCCTTGGCAGCCTGGGGACACCAAGGAGACCTGTGGGGGAACCTGATGGCTTATCCTGGGGTGTCTGTAGGAGCTGGGACAGCCACCTCACTGTGTCCCCTCCTCCTGTCCCCCTGCCCAGGGATGGGGATTCCTCCTCTGAGATCATGCAGCTGGATTTTGAGATGGAGAACTTCACGAGCCAGTCGGTGACGCGCCGCATCATGTGGCACATCGACTACCGGGGCCGCAACCCCCCGCCCGACCTGGAGAAGGTGGTCACAGAGCTGACGGTCATCCAGAGGGACATCAGGGCCATCGTGCCCCTGGCCATGGTGAGCAGGCTCCTGCCCTCAGTTGTTACCTGCTTTGAGGGGTGGGGAGCCCCTGAGGGATTGACCACCTGCCCTATAGCACCTCTCCATCCATCCCTCATCCATCCATCCATCCATCCATCCATCCATCCATCCATCCATCCCTGTCCATCCATCCATCCATCCATCCATCCATCCATCCATCCATCCATCCATCCATCCATCATCCATCCATCCATCCCTGTCCATCCATCCATCCATCCATCCATCCATCCATCCATCCATCCATCCCTGTCCATCCATCCATCCCCCCCACACCCAGGTCATTCTCTGCCCCAGATGGGACAGGCTTCCCTCTAACAGGACGGTGCCTTTTCCCTGCCACCCCCAGGACACAGAGATCATCAACACAGCCATCCTGACGGGGCGCACGGTGGCCATTCCCGTGAAGGTCATTGCCATCGAGCTGAGTGGCGTCATCATGGATGTCTCGGCCATGGTGGAGTGCAAGTCCAACAACGAGGACATCATCAAGGTGGGTGTGGGGGGTCTTGTGACCTGAGGAAGAGCTGAGGGGAAGATCCAGGTGGGAGAGGTGCTGCTGGGGCCAGTGCCAAAGGCTCCCTGCCCCAGCCACCGAGGCAGCCCCTGATCCTCAAACCTTCCCATTTTCCATCACCAGCCCCGTTCATCCATATACATTTTTCCATCCCTGAATAAATCCATCTGCCCACCTGCCCATGTCACTCTGCCACCATTTCCATCCATCCATCCACCCCCAGACATCATTCCCTTCTCCTGAACACCTCCCACCCCTCTCCCTGCATGCACCCAGCCAGCTCTCCCTTCCCATGTTCCCGTTGGTTGGGCAGAGGCAGGGAAGGGGTCTGGATTCTCCAGGGGGCCGTAGCCCCTTCTCCCCTTTGCCACAGGGGTGATGGCAGATCCCTGTCCCTGCTGGGATTTGCTGTCCATGGGGCCATGTCACCCACCATGGGGGACATCCAGTGCCACAAAGTGCTCACCCAAGTTCTTGACTAAAACTCAGATCCATGGGATTTACAGGAGCGGCTCTAATTTATGGAGCCCAGTCCTCCCCAGCGTGATAAAACACTGGAGCAATAATACACTTCAGGATGGACTCCAAGACACTTAAACTGTTTAATGTGCTGCCTTTCTGCTCATAAATCTATTGACACTCTGTCCCCAGACCTGGGGGGAGCAGGCACATGCCCAGGAGCCGGGATGAATAATGCAGGGAGCAGCCCTCCGGCCCCGGCTCTCATCCTGCTCGGAGCCCTGCGCAATTTCTTGCTGAGTTATTTGGTGTTTGTGTTGGAGCTTCATTTCCGAGGGAGCTCTCAGTTACCTGCTGAGATCGGGGAGTATGATTGCAGTGTCAGGGCTCTAAACCTGCTCCATAAATCACAGCTTACGGAGTGGGATGTGCTATCTGTTACTGTAAATAATTTAACGTGAGGGCGGGCTGGGGAGCTGCCTCTCCCCGCTCTGGTGTGGCTCCCTGGTGGTTGCTCTCTTGTGTAACGTGGGATTTGTCCTGGGTTTGGTGTGGACGTGGCTCCGAAGGATGTGGGGGGAGAACATGGGTGGGAGTTGTCATGCTCATCCCCTTCTGCGGTGACACAGGGTGACGAAAGTGTACAGGAGGACATCACCACCCAGGGGAGTGTGGAAATCATCCCGTTTTGAAAATGGGTGGTGACCATGGGGGCTGTGGACGGACACACAGGGGGTGGGAGATGCTCAGCCTCACCCGTGTGTGACCCTTCTGAGAGCCCCACATTCCACATCCCCTGCAGAACCACCCCCAGGAGCTCAACAGGACTGATCCTCACACACAGCCAGGACCATGGTGGCTCTCCCCACTCCTGGGGGCCTTGGAGAACATGTGTCCCCTTGATCCCACACCTGTCACTGTGCCAAGCCGGGAGCTCCTGGCCACAGCAGCGGAGGCAGCGGCGCCTTGGCTGGGAGCCCAGGCAGCCCTCAGCCTCTCAGTTCCTGACACCTCGCCGTAAATCCGGGAAGTTTCCCCGAACAAGCTTCATTTCCGAGCTAATCTGCAGTCACTCCATCTTCGGGACAGGCCTGGTGTGCAGGGATTTTTTGTTGTCATAGTTTCAACCCCCTCCCGGCTGCAAAGCGAGCGGCGCCCAGAAGGAGGTGCCGGGGGGTTTATTAGCCAGGGTAATGCAAGCAGAGCCCATCGTGTTTATTGTGATAAATGGCACAATATCCAGAGATCCTCTGCTGCAGGATTCACCTGGGAGCTCATCTTTATTCAGGCGCTGCCTCCTCGCCACAGATGAGATTGTCTTGTCAGACTTGCTGAGCTGGTACCTCTGATAGGGAGACAAGGAACAAACCCTCCTGCATCGCCCTTCCCTCCTGCGCTCAGGGATGTCCCCAGAAGCCCAGGTCGGGGGCTCTGCCTCCTCCCCCAGCCCCAGGGGACCATGGACACCGTGCATTGAGCTCCTGGAGCTGTTGTAGAAGTCAAACCCTGCTGTGGGCTCAGAAATACAAAATTCCTGCATCTGGTTGCGGAGCTGTTGTAGAAGTCAAACCCTGCTGTGGGCTCAGAAATACAAAATTCCTGCATCTGGTTGCCCACAGGTGCTCAAGGAATAGTCTGGGGGAGAGACAGGGATGCTGTCACCTCTGCTGTCAGCCTGGCCTCAGCCCTTCGTCGGCCATCAGAGAATACAGGGATTCTCGATTGCTGGAAATCAGCTTTTCTGTGCTGTTGAGGTGCTCAGTGCTGCTGGCTGAGCAAACGAGTTCTGTTCTTCTCCAGCATCCAACAAATCGGGTGCAATCCCTGACAAGGGATCGGGGTTGGGCCATGGGGCTGCTGCAGATGAGATGTTGGAGTCCCCTCCTGACTGTCTTCTGCCACTCTGGCTGGGAAGGAGCTGTTGACTGGTGGCCTGAGCTCAAACCCCAGGAGATGTTGCCCTGGTGTCCCCTGGGCTCCAGAACTGGCTCAGGTGGGTGGTCACGAGTGACCCCCAGCAGGATGGATTTGTTTTATAAAAAATTTCACTGAAGGTGTTTGCATAAGTGGGAATTAAAAGAGGAGGAGCGAGAAGAGGAACAGAAGGATTCATTCAGACCGCAGGAATCTTGCTCTGGGGTGAGCAGGAGGGATGGGGACAAGACTCAGGTGGGGACAGGCCGGGGGGGGAGGTCTGTGTTCACTGCCTCCTCTGGAGGAGATTTTGGGGCAAATTTCCAAGTTGAGCAATTTGCAACCTCTGTGAAGCACCCATGGGTGCCTCTAGCTCAGGGACAATTCAGGGTGGAGGCCAAAGAGAAACTGAGGCACCAAGTGGAGATTCTTGGTGAGGTGGGAGAGAGTGAGGGCTGGCTGGAGAACCTGGGTCAGGGGACACCTTGTATGGTGGAAACGGGGTGTGGATCTCCCTCTGAGCAGGATCTCCAGGAGGAGGGAACATCCCTGCTCCAGCAGCCAGCACAAACTGGATTCATACCAGGTGACACTCTGCTCTTCCAGCCTCCTGCCAGGATCTCTGCTGTGCCTGCAGGACCATCCCCATCCTCTCCTGTCCCACAGGTTTCCAGCAGCTGCGACTACGTCTTCGTCAGCGGGAAGGAGTCGCGGGGCTCCATGAGCGCCCGGGTCACCTTCACCTACGAGCACCTGTCGGCCCCGCTGGAGATGACGGTGTGGGTGCCCAAACTGCCCCTGCACATCGAGCTCTCGGATGCCCGCCTGAGCCAAGTCAAGGGCTGGAGGGTGCCCATCCTGCCGGACAGGAGGTGGGTGCTGAGGAGCTGCACTGGCCAGCCCGGAGAAGGCGAGGTGGAGGTGGTGGTCATGGGTGAATTGCCTTGCTCAGCTACTTCATCAGGAGGTTGTAAAGGTGGGGGAGACAGAGGCATCTCAGGGGTGGAAAGGTGGAAAGGGAGAGCTCACGGACACAGGTTATGGGGAAGGAAAAAATTTCACAGTGAGGTTGGTGGAGAACATTCCTCCTTGGCAGCAGTCAAAAGTTCGGTGGATGAAACTGGGAACAGCCAAGCTCCAAAGTTGCTTGTTTGAGGTCTCAAGACCTCCAGGTGTCCATCCCAAGCTGAGATACCTTGTTCTCTCATTTGTTTAGTGGGCACAGATGCTGGTGACCCTGCTGTTACCACGTCCTGCCAAATCCCTTGAATCCCTCATGGACAACCGGCATCTTTTACCCAGGAGCCACCATTTATTGGTGACATTGCGCTTTTCCCTGATTGGCCACCTTTCCTGGGGGGCTGGGGAGCAATGGTGTGGGGAGTTTGGCAACACTGCCCATCCATCCATCCATCCATCCATCATCCATCCATCCATCCATCCATCCATCATCCATCCATCCATCCATCCTCCATCCATCCATCCATCCATCCATCCATCCATCATCCATCCATCATCCATCCATCCATCCATCCATCCATCCACCATCCATCATCCATCCATCATCCATCCATCCTCCATCCATCCATCATCCATCATCCATCCATCCATCCATCCATCCATCCATCCATCCCTCCCACAGGTCGGTGCGGGACAGCGAGCACGAGGAGGATGAGGACGAGCGGAAGCAGAGCCGGGGCTGTGCCCTGCAGTACCAGCACTCCACGCTGCAGGTCTTCACCCAGTTCCACACCACGGCTGCCGAGGGCACAGGCCAGGTGGTCACCATGCTGGGGCCGGACTGGCTGGTGGAGGTCACCGACCTGGTCAGCGACTTCATGCGCATAGATGACCCGCGGGTGGCCCACATGGTGGACAGCTCCACGCTGGCCGGGCGGGAGCCGGGCACCACCCTCTTCAAGGTACCCCTGGCCACCTTTCCCCCCTGTGCCAGCCTGGCTGGCGGTGGCAGGCGGTGACAGGACCCTCGTCCCCTGCAGGTGGTGTCCCCGCTGGTGGAGGCGGTGCTGGGCGAGACGCTGGTGACAGTGGCGGAGGAGAAGGTCAGCATCATGGACCTGAAGGCCCAGGTGGTCTCCAGCCTCTCACTGTCCCTCCACCCCAGCCCTGGCAACAGCCACACCATCATCGCCCGCACGTCCGTGCAGCAAACCCTGAGCTTCTTCAAGCAGGTGAGGCTGGCGGGCATCCAGGCTTGGGGGAGAACTTGGGGTGTGACCTCCTCCTCCCAAATCCTGCCCACACTCTAGCCCTCACAGCGCCCACTGTCCTCATGACATCCTGGTGACCCCAAAACACTCCAGAAACCTTCACAGAGACCTGTGGACCCGAGCCTGGGGACAGGACACAACCGTGGGGACACAGGGGGAGGGATGGAATGGAATCCTATAGAGCTCCTGGCCCAGCTCTGGCAGCCACATCTGGCACCGCTGGGATTTGGGTTGAGCCTGGGCAAGTGTGGGGAATGTGGAGAGAAGAATAAGCTGAGAATGGTTGGAACAAGATGGATTTTGGAGGACTAAAGGGTGAATTGGATGGGGAGGTGGATGGGGGGATGGACAAAGAGGGTGCAGGTGGGACTGGCCTCCTGCTGGGCAACCGGTGCCTGTGTTGGTCCCGCAGGAAGCGCTGCTGAGCCTGTGGATTTCCTACAGCGACGGCACCACGGCCCCCCTGTCCCTCTACGACCCCAAGGACTACAACCTGGTAGTGAGCAGCCTGGACGAGAAGGTGGTGTCGGTGACCCAGGACCGGGCGTTCCCCTTGGTGGTGGCGGAGAGCGAGGGCGCGGGGGAGCTGCTGAGGGTGGAGCTGGTCATCTGCGAGAGCTGCCAGAAGACCAAGCGCAAGAGCGTCCTCTTCACGGCCTTGGCCACCGTGCGCGTCCACTTTGGGTCCGAGGAGGATCCCACCTACGACTACGACCACGTGTCCAGCAGGCCGGGGCTGGGGGAGGCCGGGGCGAGCACCACCCTGCGGGCAGAGGTGGACAGGAAAGCGGACCCGAGCGAGGACGGCCGGATGTCCAGCGCGTCCCACCCCACCGAGGACTTCCCCACCATCCCCACCGGCTTCGTGCAGGTGACGCGGGGGCTGACGGACCTGGAGATCGGGATGTACGCCCTGCTGGGCGTCTTCTGCCTGGCCATCTTGGTCTTCCTCATCAACTGCATCGTCTTTGTGCTGAAGTACCGGCACAAGCGCATCCCGCCGGAAGGCCAGACCAACATGGACCATTCCCACCACTGGGTCTTCCTGGGCAACGGGCAGCCCTTGCGGGCTCACAATGACCTCTCCCCGCAGCCCGAGAGCCCGGGGAACCCGCTGGAAAATGTGCAGACCTGCTGCCACGGGGACCACCACAGCAGCGGGAGCTCGCAGACCAGCGTGCAGAGCCAGGTGCACGGGCGCGGGGACGGCTCCTCGGGGGGCTCCACCCGGGACCAGAGCGAGGACCCGCTCAACTCACCCACCTCCAAACGGAAGCGGGTGAAGTTCACCACCTTCGCCACCATGCCCTCGGACGAGCTGGCCTACAACTCCATCCCCATCGCTGATGAGGAGGACTTGGAGTGGGTGTGCCAGGACATGGGGCTGCAGGACCCCGAGGAGCTCCACAACTACATCCGCAGGATCAAGGAGATCGCTTAATGCAGGGGCAGCGGGGACGGGGCGGGAGGGAGGGACTGCCACGCCACGCCACACCGCGCCACGCCGCGCCACGCCGCGCCACCACGCTTCCCCAGGGCCGGACACCCGCGTTCGGCTCCTTCTTCCGCACATCTCACGTCCTCACCCCATCCAAGGGCACCCCTGGGGGGGCCTTTTTTCAGTTCTCGCCCTTTCCCCACTGGTTTTCCCAGGGGAGGCAGCCGCACACGCGTGGCCCCCCAGCCTCTGTCGCGCAGTGGGGCTGGGGGCACAGCTCAGGGCGTGCGGGTGGCCCTGGCAGGAGGGGGCTGGGGGTCCTGCCTGGAAGGGCTGGGAGAAGGGAGAGATCCCGTTTCCTCCCCGAGCCCAGCAGGGAGGTGATGGCTGAGGGCTTCCCAAGGGCCTCCCCCAACATTTGCCGCGCTCAGTTGCACAATTTTGGGGGCGAGTGCTGGGTCACCGTGTGGGTTTTGGGGTGTTGGCCCCCCCTGGGTGATGCTGGGAGTGGGGGGCACAATGGCCGTGGGCCCGGGGCACCACTGTCCCCATCACCTGCTGTGTCCCTGCCCCAAATCCCCGGCGTGCCCCACTCCCAGGCTGCCCGGGGCAGTTTGGGGGTGACCAGTTGGGACATTTGCTGCTCACCCTGCCTGTCCCTGCCAGTGCTGGGCCCCCTTGCCCCACAGCCCTGCTGGAGCCTCCAGGACCAGCCACCGGTTTGTGCCCTCTCCCAAGTGCTGGAATGTGGCTCTGGGCTGGGAATGTGCTGCTGGGGATGGCCTCAAGGGGACCTGGCCTGGGTGTCCCAGTGCCAGCCCAGCTCCCCCAGTGCCAGCCTAGCAGGGATGCCCGGGGCCAGGCTCAGCCTGTGTGGTGCCTTCTGACTGCCATAACCCGATGCCTCCCGGTCCCCCCGTGCTGCTGGCACCTCCCAGCCCCTCTGGCTCACCCAGGGGGGCACCCCCAGCCCAGGGCCACCCCCTGTCCCAGCCCAGCCTGGGGGGGACGCCTGGCTACCAGGGCTGGCAGGCTGGGGACCCTGGGCTGTGCACTTGTCCCCATCGAGCATGTGGGGACAGGGACCCCCCCCCAGCATCACCTGGTGGAGGCTGGCAGCGGATTATTTCTGGATTGAAAGTTACCCACCACTGTGTCTCTTTTTTTTTTTTTTTTTTTTTTTTTTTTTTTTTTTTTTTTTTTTTTAAA